CAATTCGTTTCCCGCGTCTTTCTTCTAATTTCGTTGTTCCCATAGTTGTTTCTAAGAAAGAAAAAAAACGTCTAGACTTTTTTTTCGTTGACTAAATCGACTTGTGTAGCCTTATTGTTGAAAGATTCGTCTTAAAACAGTTATGTTCTGATCGCCGTTACGCACTTCCCCTTGGCACGCGTCACGTTCGTAGGAGTTGATTCTGCGTTGCGTTTTGAAGTGAAACATGTGTTCGACCTTCTTAGAACGTTCTATCAGCTCACCAAGGAGATTAAACTTAAACCAACCAACTTAAGACAAGCTTCCCTCAGCAAATGAAAACAGCTACCAGTACTCTGAGATGATTTTCTTCACGACATTACCAGATAGAACAGGCCGAAGAAAACGAACTACCTTACCCAGCGATTTGAAACCAATCATTCGTAGCCAAAGAAAGCTACAGGAAACCCGCATATAAGACCTTCATCTTCTCAAGTTAGCCTCCGAATAGAAATGGTATTTACTGTGAAATTAGACTACTTGAGGTCTAATTCAGGTTCTTAACATTTGTTTTACTAAAAAATAAACTGCCATTCTTGGGTGTGGGTATGACATTGCGCTGTATAGCGGCCTTAATGTTCCGTGCTGTACATGGTTAACTTATATACAAAGTTAGATATCTTGCAGAACTATGGATGTATTGACAGAACAGTACTGTGATCTAATGACAATGTCAGTGTTCTGGGTAGTTTTTGTTGTCCTTTTTGTATCGCTTGAGATGTACTGTAATATAATTGAAAAAAATTCTGTTACGGTATAACTTAACCGACAGAAGAACACTACAATCATACAAACTCAACTAATTTCATTAAATGACGTGTAATATTCTTACTTAGTAGCGACTCCAATAGATTATAAAGTTAGCATCCTCATTAACTTACTTAAGCCCTGTACAAACTATATCTTAACTGACCACTGCACAAACTCACAGTTTTCTCTAAAGTTCCTTGAAATTAACAATCATCCTCAACAGTTCTTTCTCTTAGTATAGCTTTCCAAACAATCGGTCTCTCCCGACAACAACAACTACTACTACTACTACTACTACTACTACTACTACTACTACTACTGCTACTACTACTACTACTACTACTACTACTACTACTACTACTACTACTACTACCACTACTACTACTACTACTACTACTACTACTACTACTACTACTACTACTATTACTACTACTACTACTACTACTACTACTACTACTACTACTACTACTACTGCTACTACTACTACTACTACTACTACTACTACTACTACTACTACTACTACTACCACTACTACTACTACTACTACTACTACTACTACTACTACTACTACTACTATTACTACTACTACTACTACTACTACTACTACTACTACTACTACTACTACTGCTGCTGCTGCTACACGGCCAATTCCGTACGTACGTTTACAAAGTATTCCAGAACATTCCAGGCATTTACGACCACACTTTTTTGGTAGTGTTACATAATAACAATAAAACCTGACAGGATATTCTAGAAAAAATCCATCGCAAGTCCATGCTTGCAAGTCAGCATGACGAGGCATTCTAAAATTTCTAGAAACTTATTTTTAGTCACTCTCCATAGCTATTCTATATTCTAAAAATAAGAACCTGTATTGAAATTTCTGCCTGGAAGGCTCTTATGTGAAGGATGTTTAACTGGAAAAGTTTAGCCTTACGGTTCTTAAATT